GGTGGTGAGGGTTTTTTAAAAAAAAAAAAAAAAAAAAAAATTTTTGTTCATATAACTTTAAAGTACTCTTCAAGCCATTAAAATTTGTTGTACGTTTTTTCTTTATATCTCTTATAGTTTAGCAGATATTTGATCCTAAAGAAAAATACCGTTATTCTTTAAAGGGGTGTTTCACCCCTTAAAACTCAAATTGCGCACGTATAAAAAAATACGTGTCTTTTAGATTTGTGTATTTACAACATATTTCAAGGAGAATCAAATCGGTTCCGGACAGTTGTGACATGTCCCTTGTTAGTTGAAGTGCAGAAAATTACCAATCATGCAATTTAATAACACAGAATATTTATTAAAACATATCAAATAAAGGAGGAGGTAAATTTAAATAATATTATTATGGGAAAGCAAAGAAAGAGATATTGTTTTAATCTTATCAATTCCTGAATCTTATTTTTTATATTTGTTTTATTTGTTATATAAAAAGTAGTTGATTTTTATAATTGTGCAAATCTTTTTTATTTTATATACAATATTAGATTTTTATAAATGCGGAAGGAGATTATTATAATTTATTTAATTATATTATAATTAATAAAAACAATTTATTTTAGAGTGGCAATGTAATAAATAAGAATATCTTACAATAACTACATTTAAAACAAAAATGATTCGGAACGGTCAAATCAGAAGACGAAAACAGGATTTGAAAGATTTTTTTGTTATAATCTGTGGATGTAAAAAAATGTCATCTTTGCAATACGTGGACATACTTCATATGAGTAAATTTTTATGTTTTATAATATATACTATTTCTTTTGCTGCTTTAATTATGTTTATTAGATGTATTACTATTCGATGCCTCTGTTTATTTACAAAACTTTATGGCTGCATGCATCAAGTTTTTCATTTTTTTTTTTCTTTTTTTAGCGATCTTATACTTAAAGTAGTTGAAATATATATTAATTACCCGTGTATAGTCACAAGAAGTAACTATATAATATTATAATAAATTTTACTGTTAGATTATATAATAATATAATGTGTAAATATAATATATAAATATGCTTGTTAAATGATAAATGCACCTAAATGTACATCTATTAGTTTGAATTATATATTGATTTATTTTTAACTTTTTTAAGTTAATTAATAAAATTATATGTTTATACCCACACACGCACACACAAAACAAACAACACACACAACCCACACCCCCCACCCACCTACACACACACGCGCACGCACGCACGTACACACGCACGCACACACACACACACACACACACACACAATCCACATCCACCCACATTACCCCGCGCGCACACAGCAACGCAACGCTCATGCTCATGCACACACACACTCATGCACGCACACGCATACGCACACACACACACACATGTATATAAACACACACACAACACACACACATATATATATATATATATATACAGCTATCCCAAAATTCTGGAAACGGTTGAATATTTCCTTATCAAGAGACACGGTAGTGTCTCGCGACCAGTTAAGGGCTAGCGGAGACACCGTGTATCTTAACGCGAGTCGGACATTTGAGTCTTTATAATATTTCGAATCCTCAATAATGGCTGAAGCAATCGAGTTTATACTAGACTTAATCGATAGATTGAGTTCGAATTATATAATAAAAGTGTCTTTATTTCTGCTCTACGTGATTAGTAAGCAGAGATATATAAATGCAAAGTCGAAATATGAAAAATTTCTATTAAGAAACGTCCCCGTCATCATTATCATCATCATTATTATCATCATTATCATCATCGACCACGCATACATAGTAGTATCGTGCTACACGTATTCACACGTATACAACACATGCGCACACATATATCACACGTACACAACACATGCAAGATGCATGTAGTGGTAATTTTGTCCATCTCGCACGTTTTACAACAGATGGCGATAGTGGCGCTCCGCCATATCGGCAGCGTGCGGGGTTATGTTGGCTAACTCTCTCTCTCTCTCTCTCTCACTCCTCTCTCTCTCTTCTCTCTCTCTCTCTCTCTTCTCTCTCTCTCTCCTCTCTCTCTCTCTCTCTCTCTCACTCTTTCTCACACACACACGCACACACACACACCTCTCTCTCTCATTCTCACTCACTCACTCACTGTTCGTCTTGTGTACTTATTTAGTCATTCATGATCGGCAGCGTGCGGGGTTATGTTGGCTAACTCTCTCTCTCTCTCGTCTCTCTAACTCTCTCACTCTCTCTGCTACTCTCTCTCTCTCTCATCTCTCTCTTCTCTCTCTCTCTTCTCTCTCTCTCTCTCTCTCTCTCTTTCTCACACACACACGCACACACACACACACTCTCTCATTCTCACTCACTCACTCACTGTTCGTCTTGTGTACTTATTTAGTACATTCATGATTAAACATCTATATGCATTAATGTGAAATTTACTTACAATTAGTTTACTTGAAATATTCAATCTCTAAAGTGTTTATCTTATAAGATAGACAAAAAAATCTGAGTAAATAATAAGAAAAAAAAAACAAGGATTATTATTGTCATAATTTTTTATCAATTAAGTACTCTCAACTATCCAATAATTAAATAAATACGTACAAATGTGCGCGCGTGTACACACATACACATATTGATATGAAAGAGATTGAAGGAGAGGAAGGAGAAGATAAAAATTTAAATATTCACATATATTTTCAAATATTATATATAATTTATAGTTTACATATCTAATTAATAATGAATTTCTAATTATATTAAACATATCAAAATAAAGACATACATGTATTTATCAAATGAATAAAATTATTGAATACAGACTTAAAAAATTTATTAAACATAGACTTAAAAAATTAATTAATTAAACATATTCCAAATTTAGAAAAAATAAACTTTATTTATATATGCAACAGCTTTTAAACTAAATTTTTAAATTCTATTTTATATTAGACAATTATCTCAATCAACATCTACGTCCACATTAGCTGCACTGCAGACTACCTCTACAGCCACATTATCTGCTCCGCGGATATAGCGTTATGCCAATACGATACATTACATGTACTTACTTACTTGCCTTTACTGTACCAACTCTTGTTCTTTCCACGTAATCATGTTTTTACAGTTATCGTTTGCTGTATATCTTCCAGCAAACTTTATTTCGTGTGAAGTGTATTTAATTAATTAAATCTCTGCGAAAGATTGAGAAGATGAAGGGATAATTCAAACTATGAAGACATGGTTACATGAAAAGACAAGAGTTGATACAATAATAAAGACATACATGTATTTGTATCCTGCTGGCATAAGGTTATAGAAGTTGATTGAGATTGAAAAATAATAATGAAAATAATAAAAAAAATAAAGACACATGTATTTGTATCGTGCTGGCATAAAGTTATAAAAGTTGATTGAGATTGAAAAATAATAATAAAAATAATTAAAAAAGGAAATATTCAATCATCATTTAAAAGCATATTTGAAATCTGTAGAATAAACAGTTTTTGCAAAAAATGTGGAGCATTTGAGCTCTAGTAAGTCTAAAAATAAATGTAAACATCAATTAATAATAACTGATGTTATATATATATTATATATATAAACCAATTTGTTGCAATATTCACTATAAAAGGTTGTAAGGGTAAGATGGCTAAAAGTGAATAATTTAAAAGATAGTTACCATAATTTTACATAAACTGAAATATTTCATAAAATAAAATATTTGTAATATTTCGAAGTTTATGTAAGATTATGTAAAAATTATACCTTTACAACTTTTTATAGTAAATATTGCGAGTTAAATCGATTTATATGAGAAAAATTAAGGTAATTCTATTTTGAAAATATAAGTGACCTTTAAATAACCTTGAAAATCGCCATTTAGGAAAAAGTCTGTGTCAACTTTTTCTTTTTCGAAATCCTGCAACTTTTATCTAAATTTAATAGAAAATGTATAAAAAATGCTCGACATTAGTACACACACACACACACATATACACACACACACACACATATACACACACACACACACATATGGGTAAATTTATATAAATAGGGTGCTTTAGGAGTGTTCACGAACGCGCTGCGTGAGAGGAGGTCGCGCTGCACTAAGGCTAAGTCACTCTCTTTTGTATAAAGAATTTAATGCTTAAACACACGTAAATACAGAACACTCAGACAAGACTTATAACAACTGTTAATAATTTCACAGGAAGAGAACGTAATCGAGATCAGAGTACAAAATAAGCGGTGGTCGTCAACGAATTTTGCGGTTTATCTATCAAGCGGTTACGATATGCGGTTCACAGCGGAAAAGCGATAAAAAGCTGCACGCCGAATGTGGGCTTTTCCTTTATAGGTTTTCAGGACGGAACCCACTCTTACGTAAAGCGCCAATGATCTCGAGTATTTTGAATATTGCGCGGGGTGACCTGAGCGCATCACTCGTGATTGGCCGCTGTAAAATTAGACTAAACGCGTGTTCTAAGAAGGCATGCGTAAGCGGGCGATCGCGGTAATTATTGGTTAATCGAGGCGTCCGTAAGAATTCGCGCATGCTCGCTGTAACCGGACTATTCGGCGGAACGGTTACAGTACCGTTAGTTGTTGTTAGTTGATAGGTTTTTTTTGTGACAGATTGATTTATTACATGGTTTTTTTCCTTGAAATACATATAAACTATGTCTCTATTTGTTATGATTTTCAATCGACCCGTCTAGAATATTCGATTAGGCGTTTCAAACATCCCGCCCGCCTTGTCGCGCAGTGACAATATACCGACGAGTTTCGGCCGTGGAATCACAAGTCGATCGTGATCGATGGTGGGGCGCGCGCGCGCTGGCGCGGTGGCAAGCACGTGGTGATCGCGTGACTCGAACAGCTGAGTCGATGGGAACACGTGGTGATCGTATTGTGCGGATCGATCAGCTGAGGCAGAAAAATGCGGGTTTGACGTGGAATGGCGGGTGTGTAATGCAGTGCGGTGAGGGACTGGTGAATGTTTACGGGCTGACGGCCGGCACGTCCGCGCTGTTTATGCTCGGAAGGGGATCCGCGCGCGGCAGCAAGACGAGCTTGACGAGCGGGCGCACAAGCTCAGAAGTGGCGGTGCGGATTGTCACCACGCGGACGATACCGTCGTTCCCGGGATGCAACCTCGTGATCCGGGCGAGAGGCCATCGGGTCGGGGGGGTGAGCTCCGAACGCAGGATGCAAAGATCACCGACGTGGGGTGCGGCCTCGGCCTTGAGCCACTTAGTGCGTGGATTGAGTCCGTGGATATATTCCTTCGACCACCTCCCCCAGAAGTGCTCTCTCATTTGCTGGAGGTGTTGCCATCGCGATCTCGTGTCTCCATGTTCGCCTCCCTGCGGTGGCTCAGGGATGGCGAGAAGGGGCGCCCCGATCAGGAAATGTCCAGGAGTTAGTGCTGAAACATCGTCTGGATCGTCCGAGAGTGCCTGCAATGGTCGAGAATTGAGGCATGCCTCGATTTGAGTGAGGAGGGTACTCAGTTCTTCGAAAGTGAGGGTGGTTTCGCCTATCACCCTCCGCAGATGGTACTTAGCTGACTTGACTGCAGCCTCCCATAATCCACCGAAATGCGGAGCCGCCGGCGGATTGAAGTGCCAGCGGATGCCTTCCTTGGCGGCTGCGCGTGCGATTCCTTCACCCTCCGAAGACGCTGCAATAAAGAGTTCCCGTAGGGTGCGGTCGGCTCCGACGAAGGTCGTGCCGCAGTCGCTGAAGATGTCGGCACAGAGACCTCGTCGAGAGACAAATCGACGAAGGGCGGCGATAAAAGCTTCCGACGAGTAGTCCGATACGAGCTCTAGATGGATGGCCTTCGACCAGAAGCAGATGAAGAGTGCAATGTAGCCCTTGTAGGCGCGGTGGCCGCGACCTTTGCTGGTCCGAATGAGGATTGGTCCCGCGTAGTCCAGTCCAGTGCGGAGGAATGGTCGCGTTGGCGTGACCCTGCTGCGTGGCAGACTGCCCATGGGTGGTTGTGGTGTCGTCGCTCGCCACCTTGTGCACGTGACACAGCGATGAAGCCGCTGTTTTACCGCTGCACGTCCTCGGGGTATCCAGAAACGCTGTCGAAGCAAGCCTAGGGTCAACTGCACCCCTCCGTGCAAGGTCCGGCGGTGATGAGCATCGATCAACAGTCGAGTCAGCCATGAAGTTGTTGGCGCAATCATCGGATGTCTCTCGTCCTGTGACAAGAGCGAATTTTTTAAGCGTCCTCCTACTCTCAACACGCCACGTGTATCGGCGAATGGAGCTAGTTTGGCCAACGGACTGCGTGTTGCGACAGTGCGGCCTGCAGAAACAGCGGTGACCTCGTCAGGGAAGTGGAGTGCTTGTACCTCTCGTAGCCAGTGTGATAGAGCTCCGTCTAATTCGTCTGCGGTGGGTGGCTGTCCAGGGGTGACAGTTGGTGCAACAGTGCGAAGCCAGCGACGACACCATACTGTGACTCGTAGCAGGTGGTTCAACGACGAAAAGCGGAGGAGGAGCTCAGGTTCCATGACGACCAAGCTCCTCGTCATCAGGCTGCCGGCTCGTCTCTCGATAAGGTTGTCTTCTCGGGTGTCCACTTCGGTGAGCGGCCATGCCGCCTCTTCCTCCAGCAACCAGGTAGGTCCTGTCCACCATAACGTATGATTTACCAATTCCAACGGACTAATGCCCCTCGATGCACAATCCGCAGGGTTGTCTCGACCAGCCACATGTCTCCAGAGTGCGTTCGGCAGTAGGGTCTGGATGTGAGACACCCGGTTGGCAACGAAGGTCTTCCATCGCGAGGCGTGTCCCTGGATCCACTGGAGCGTGACCTTCGAGTCCGTCCACAGATGCGTGGGTGCATCTCCCAAGTTGAGCGTGCGTTGCACATGCTGAGTCAGTGTGGTGAGTAAGGCGGCGGCGCAGAGCTCGAGTCTCGGCAAGGTCACTTGCCTGACAGGTGCCACCTTGCTCTTGGCCATTAGTAGTGTCACTGACGTTTCATTTTTTCCAGCGATGCGGCAGCATACCCGCGCTCGGACGCGTCGGCGAAGCCATGTAGCTGCAGCGATGAGTCCACATCGCCCGTGCCGAGCCAGCGAGGCATCCTCAGGCGGTCGAGGAGATGGAGGCCACCCAGCAGTTGCTGCCAACGATGAGCGTCGGCTGGCGGCAGTTGAGCATCCCAATCTAACCCCTGAAGCCACGTAGTTTGGATGAGGATCTTCGCGCGGATGACGACAGGAGCGAGCCAACCCAATGGATCGAAGAGCCGTGCGGTTTCAGAGAGAACCCGTCTCTTCGTATATTTCTCTACGGACGGTGGAAGCAGTGTGAAGGAGAACTCATCATCTTGAGGATGCCATCGAAGTCCTAGCGTTGAGTGACTCTCTCCTTCCCATGCACGCTGGGACTGCTGCATACGATGATCCTGAGGAACGCCAGTTAGGATCTCTTCGTGGTTGGCTGCCCATTTTCGTAACGGGAACCCGCCCGCCTTGCAGAGGTTGCGTAGCTCCTCCTGAAGCACGATTGCTTCGTCGAGCGTGGTTGCTCCGGTGACTACGTCGTCGACATAACAATCCCGTCGCAAGGCCACCGAGCCGCGAGGAAAATGTTCTTCCTCGTCCTTGGCCAGTTGCTGAAGAGTCCGTATGGCGAGGAATGGAGCGCAACTGAGGCCGTAGGTGACCGTCCTCAGTTGGTATTCGTGCACTTCATCGTCAGGAGAGTGCCGCCACAGGATCGTCTGGAAACTGCAGTCGTCTGGATGCACGAGAATCTGCCGGTACATTTTTTCTATGTCGGCGACGAAGACGTAGCGGTGTTGACGCCATCGGAGCAGCACGTCGGCTAGCGGCGGAAGGAGGTTTGCGCCGGTGTGGAGGTGCGTGTTCAGCGATTCCCCGGCTCGTGTTCGCTGCGATCCGTTGAACACGACTCTCAACTTGGTGGTGGTGCTGGATTCCTTGAAGACCCCATGATGCGGTAAGTAACACTTGCCCTGCCGGTCAGTCGACGCCGTGGCTAACTTCGTCATGTGTTGTAGGTCCTCGTACTCGCGCAGGAAGCTCCGGTAGAGATCACCAAAGCGAGGGTCCTGGATGCAGCGTCTCTCCATGGCCATCAGAAGACGTTCCGCTGGCTTGCGAGTCTCCTCCAGTTTTGTCGGTGGTGAGGAGAACGGCAACCTCACCATGTATCTCCCAGAGGCAGTGCGAGTGTGACTGCGCACAAAGAGCTCCTCGCTCCCTTGTTCGTCGGGGGTGAGAGACGTGACAGCGGTGGGCTCCTGTTCCTGTTCCCAGAATCGACGCACCAGGTCAGCGAGGTCGTAATCAGCAGTGATACGGAGCGTGCGTCGGTGATCCGCGGTTGCTGCTGCATCAGATCCCCCGGAGAGAATCCAACCCAGGATAGTTTTCTGGGCGATCGGCATTTCTGGACCGCCCTTGCGTACGCCCTCCTCAATTATGAAGGAGCAGACCTCCGCTCCTAGGAGCAGTTCAGCCGGGTCGTCGTCCTGGAAGTTGGGGTCGGCCAGCTGAAGTCCCTGGATATGAGGCCAGCGTTTATCCGTCTTTGAGGTGGGGCCCTGTGTCATCACGAGGCGCGGCAGGATATAAGCCACCACGGAGAGCTCGGCGTTGGTCACGTCTGACGTTACCTTCAACGTGATCTTGCCGCGGATTGGTCCTGGGCGGGCTCCTCCGACCCCGGAGATGGATAGTCCCGTGTGCGCTCGAGGTAGTCGCAAGCGTTGCGCCACTGTCTCGGAGACAATGGATAGCTCGGAACCCTGATCGAGCAAAGCTCGCACTGAGTGCGGAAATCCATGCCTGTCAGCGATGTGGACGCGCGCAGTTGCTAAGAGGACGGCCTTTCGATCCTCGTTCTGATGTGTAGCGGCTAGTGTCGTGGCAAGTGTGGAAACTGATGCGGTGGCAGGAGTGTTGATCTCCGACGATGAAGACGTGGTGGATGCCCCGTGCAACATCGTGTGGTGACGTGCGTTGCAAGTGAGGCAGGCCTTCTTCGATTGGCACCGTGAGATAAAGTGGTTCCCCAGGCAGTTGTAGCAGAGCTTGTGCGTTTCCACGAAGGCTCTGCGTTCCGCTGAGGACTTGGCCTTGAAGTCTCGGCAGGCCATGAGGGCGTGTTTCTCGCGACACAGTGCACATTGTGGGGTTATCGGTCCGTGCTTAGTGACGTGGGATCTCGCGCTTCGGGTTGTATCTCCTGAAACTTTGGTGACTCCCTTTGGTCGTGCGGCGTTGAGCGTCAGAATTCTGCGGCCGATGAAGTCGAGAAGTGTCTCGTGTGATGGTGGTTCAGTGGATCCCGATGTGGATGATTCCCATTCGAGACGGGTGGTTGAGTCAAAGAGTTCAGTGACCAAGTAATTGAAGAGGTCCATCCCGTGCGTGTCGATCGGGCGACCGATGCTCTCCTGCGCGTTGACGACGGTGGTGACGACGTTGTGGATGCGGCTCAGCTCGTCGGCGGTATCTCCCTTCATCTTGGACACATTGACGAATGCGGCAAAATTGGAGCGGATGAGTTCTCTTTTATTCTCGTAGTGTTTGCTCAAGATCGCCCAAGCGCGATCGTAATTATCGCCGATGACAGGTAACGATCTGATTAATTTTTCAGCTTCTCCGGTCACACTTGAGCGCAGGTGATGAAGACGCTCAATTTTTGAGATTGACCCATTGTTCCCGACAATGGAAAGGAAAAGATCCCTGAAGGATGGCCAATCTGCGTAGGTGCCAGAGAACTGTGGTACCTTGATGCGTGGCAGCGAAGATCGTGATGCGACGTCGGTGGCTGGACGCATGGGCGTCGATGCGAATCCCTCGGCGTAGTCATCCAATGTGCTCCGCTGCGTTACGTACAGGTTCTCGGTATCTTCGTGTAACCCTGATTTGAAGTAATCGCTGTCACTGAACCTTTCTTTCAGCGCAGCGCGGATGAGGTCGTGCTGAGCCTCAAATTTCGTCCAAAGCTGGTCGAGGATTCGGGTGCGTGTACTGACGGCACTGGAGGTAATGTTGGCGTTGCCCAGCTTCCTCAAATATTCCACTGAGCGTGAGATGCGGACGTGGATCTCCCGTTGGCAGTCGATCAACGTGCCCACCTCCATGTTGATGCACGCACTCTCACTAGCCGCACGAAGAATCGCGTTCACGAACTTGCGGTTGCCGGTGCGTGTGATCCGGCTCGAAGGACCAAAAATTATGTTCACGAACGCGCTGCGTGAGAGGAGGTCGCGCTGCACTAAAGCTAAGTCACTCTCTTTTGTATAAAGAATTTAATGCTTAAACACACGTAAATACAGAACACTCAGACAAGACTTATAACAACTGTTAATAATTTCACAGGAAGAGAACGTAATCGAGATCAGAGTACAAAATAAGCGGTGGTCGTCAACGAATTTTGCGGTTTATCTATCAAGCGGTTACGATATGCGGTTCACAGCGGAAAAGCGATAAAAGCTGCACACCGAATGTGGGCTTTTCCTTTATAGGTTTTCAGGACGGAACCCACTCTTACGTAAAGCGCCAATGATCTCGAGTATTTTGAATATTGCGCGGGGTGACCTGAGCGCATCACTCGTGATTGGCCGCTGTAAAATTAGACTAAACGCGTGTTCTAAGAAGGCATGCGTAAGCGGGCGATCGCGGTAATTATTGGTTAATCGAGGCGTCCGTAAGAATTCGCGCATGCTCGCTGTAACCGGACTATTCGGCGGAACGGTTACAGTACCGTTAGTTGTTGTTAGTTGATAGGTTTTTTTTTGTGACAGATTGATTTATTACATGGTTTTTTTCCTTGAAATACATATAAACTATGTCTCTATTTGTTATGATTTTCAATCGACCCGTCTAGAATATTCGATTAGGCGTTTCAAACAAGGAGGAATGATCAGGATTCTAGGATATGATTGTACACATCATTTTAAGCAAAGAAGTTTAGATAAACATGTTTAATAATTGTTCTATTCCGGTCATAAAAATATACAAAAATGAATGATATAATCTCTAAAAACGCACCTTTAAAAAAAGGTAAAAAAAGGCGACCAGTTAAGGGCACGCCATTAACAAAAATTATCCATTGCAAACCCATGTAGAATCCTATCCTATTGCAAACCCATGTAGAATCCTATGAAAAATTAATCATTGCAAACCCATGTAGAATCCTAGGCAAAATTAACCATTGCAAACCCATGTAGAATCGTACCCATTGCAAACCTATGTAGAATCCTATGAAAAATTAACCATTGCAAACTCATGTAGAATCCTATGAAAAATTAACCATTGCAAACCCATGTAGAATTGTATTAAAACTTATCCATTGCAAACTTATGTAGAATCCTACATTGCAAACCCATGTACAATAGAATTGTATGAAAAATTATCGATTATAAACCCATGTACAATCGTAACAAAAGTAATGAAATAAAAAAAAAATTGCGCCAAGTGAAAGTAGAAACTTGTACCAGTGGAAAATTAAAGTTGCAGACATATATAGAGTCGTATAATGAATCAGTAAAATTTAAATTTGCAAATGTAGAATCGTACCATAAAAAAACTTATCTTTTAAAAAAAAGATAAACAAGATGCCAAGTCCATGCGCCATGTGAAAAAGAAATAAAAAAATTTTAGTTAAAAAAACTGGGAGCGCTGCTAAATAATATTCTAACAATATTAAAATTAAATTGTTACTTTTAAACTCATTACAGTTAAAATATGTTTTGTGTTTAAATTAATTAATGTTACTTTAAGGTGCATTGTAATTTTGAAACTTAGCAGCGCGCCCAGTTTTTTTAACTAAAATTTTTTTATTTCTTTTTCACATGGCGCATGGACTTGGCATCTTGTTTATCTTTTTTTTTAAAAGATAAGTTTTTTTATGGTACGATTCTACATTTGCAAATTTAAATTTTTACTGATTCATTATACGACTCTATATATGTCTGCAA